CCCGAGCATTCTGTGATTCTGTGATTCTGTGTTTCCTGTTTGCCCATGAAGAGGATTTTGCGTGTGACACTCTATTCTAGCATTTTCTTGATTTAGCTGTAGTCATTAAGTATACAAATACTCTCCTACATCAATTTTAAAATGACTGTATACTGGGTTGCAAATGTGATATGGCAACGGATGAATAATATCAACTCGGTGTCAAAAGGTTCATTTCATAACATTCCATATGCACTGTTATAATTCCTTTTTTTTTTATTTTCATCCAAGGCAGTAGTAAGCATTTAGTCTACCTGGGAATGTAGCATCCATTACTTCACTGTGAAGATAATTCAATAAAATTATCCAGGAAATAGTTCCACCATCTAGTCAGACTGTTTTTAACATAAAAATACCTTCCCCATAATGTCTGTATATGTGAAACTGCTAAATATTTTAAGTTTCGTATTCCAAATTCGCTATAAACATTTTGGCAGCCGTTTCAAAAAATGCTACACTGCTGGCTTGTTTATAGTAGACAGAAAACTGGGTTAAAAAAACACCAGTCAGGAAATTCTTCTGCTAACTCTCCATCTTAAAGCCATACTCTTTTGCCGACGTTACATCTGTGCTACAAACCGAAGCTGGTGGCTTAAGGAGAGTGGATGAATAAACATTTGCTTTAACTCGTTTTCTGTAAGATGTCAATGTGCATTTGTAAAAGTATTTATTTTACATAATGCACCTGGGTGTCACAATTTACATTATGCGAGGTCAGGAAGTTAATGATGCAGGCTTCACTGAATCTCTTTAATGCATCTCCCTATATTTAAAATAAGATCTTCTTTCTCCTTCATGTCTTAATCCAAACAAAATAGTGATCATGATGAGCTGTGGTGAACAAGACCTCTTGCATCTTGCCCATTTCCAGCGATGTGAAACAAAGCCTTTTTTTTTTTTTTAATGCCAGTGAATAGGAACGTAGAAGAGTGCAATTAAGTCATACTCCAATTGTTTAAAAAATAAATACATAAAGGCTCTGTTAGAATTTACTCTTTCCTCTTTGGAGTTATATGCTGGAATTACTCCAGGTGCAAAGTTGTGGAATTTCCCACATGTCGGTATTTAACAGCTAGAGTTCAACTGAAGGCCTTCTTGAGCAGCCTCTAGAAATATTAGGGGGATTAAGAAGAATGTATTTAAAATACTTACGAGAATAAGAAAGTCTGTTTCCGCTATTGTCAGTTTCCTGTTTCTTTCGCTGGGATAAAAATGCAAAATATTGCAGATTCCTGTATCAGAAATACTTAATTAGTGACCTGTCAAATCACATTTCTAGCAGACAGAGCACTTCAAAGATGGGAAGCTCCCAGTTGTAGTGATCCTTGTGTGGCAGACTTTAGAAGTTGAACTTGAAGATTATTACTTTTACAATATTACTGTATTTAGAATAGAATGTTTCTAGGGATGAGGCGTCTACCGCCTCTCTGGACAACCCGTTCCAGTGTTTCATAACTCTCATCGCAAATATTTTTTCCTTATATCCAGTCTAAGTCTATCCACTTTTAGTTTAAAACTATTGTTTAAATATGACTCGCCTACATAGGCACTGTGCTAATGAATTTACTGTGTGTATTTTACTCAAGGAGCTGGTTTAAGTTTGTCAGTAAAAGTTGATCCTGTCGAGAGAAATAAAAATTCCACGTAGCTTCGTCAAGCTTGTGCCTGCCGAAGGAAAGCTCTGTGATGACGGTTGTTTTCAACTAGAGCCTGCTTTGCTTTCCAGCCAGTGGAAGGAAACGTTTAACACATTTGATATTACAAACAATTCTGTCAATTCTAGTTTCACATTACTGTTTTATCCCTTTTTGTGCTACTAATCTGATTGTCTTTCAGGAAGCTTCTCGACAACTAGAAATTGACACTAGCTCTTACATATTTATAGGTAAAAGCTGAAGTTCCTTTGCGTTTTTTCTGAAAAACAACTTTTAAACTGCTACTGTTTCCCTGACAGCACGCGGAAGGCACACACACGGGGCATTGGCAGTTCACCTTACGGTCGATCTGTTCACTGTGACACATTTACATGGTCATGTAAAGACTGTGGTGAAAGTCACGTTGGTGACAAGACCTGGTTGAGTCTGCATATTAAGTCAAGAAAGAATTGTATCTCTCTTAGAGGGTAAAAAATAAAAGTATTATGGTGTGTCTCTTCTTCACCACCTACTGTCCCATTTATGTTCAGACAAACCATAAAAATCCAGCTGTGCTGCAGTTTATAGCATTTAATTAACAGACAAACAAGCTTTTGTACTAAAATTGCAAATTGATAGCAAGTGAGTTACTAATATTTTGATAAATGTGATTAGAAAACATAGGGATCGTGTGCTTTTGCTTTTTAAATACAGAGCCTTTGAACTAAGACGGAAGCAAGAAGAAGAAAAAGAGCTAAGACTTAGAGAGCAAGTTCTGCAGCAGAGGAAGATGAAACTTCAAGAAGCAACCAATAAGTTCCAGCGTGTTCACCTGCCTGTTGCTCAGCCCAGGCAAATAGGTTTGTCCATTAAAATTTATCTGTTATTCACAATACAGGTGTTTTTCTATTAATAGTATATTGCTGAGGCAAACAAAACAGTGACTTCACTGAAATTAATTGAAATCATATAAGCAGAACTTAACTGATGAGAAGCTCAGCTCTGATCCATGTGACAAAACTGGGTAGAGAGAATTAAAAAAAAACATTTTTTTTCCTGAAAATTTAATTGTGATATATTTCGTTGTATGCCAATCGCAGTAAGTACATCACCTCCTTGGGATATTGGGGCTTCCTAGGTTTTCCTCACTTCTTTCACTACAGTCTGCTTATTGCTTACAATGCCATGTGTTCCCAGCTGGGTGTGAGGTGTTAAAAGGCCACTAAAAGTTACTGGTATAGTGCTGTTTGAACTCCTGAATATGTAATATTCAAGAACGTGCATTTTGTTTATCGTTAAGTAAAAGCAGTTCTAGCATATGTTAATGTATTACATAACTTTTGCTGAATTAGTCAGCTTTTTAAGCTGTTCTCTCACTGCTGGGACGTGGTGATCACTTCAGCTCAGTTCCTGCTTTCTTGGGATCAGTGCAGATTGGCAGGAGTTTTTAGCAGCACCAGCCAAGTCTCATTTCCAGTCAACTTTCCAGTGTTGAAACTCTTAAGATATGGTATATTACTTAGGTATTCTTTAACAGATTTACTCTCTCAACTGCAGTTGCGCCAACTGTGAGGTAACGTCTCTGACTTCAAGATCAAATGTCAGATTAAAATAACAAAATAGAACAGTACTGGTTTAGGGCTTCTTCATAGTTCTGCTGACAACCCAGACTCTGTAGCAGTATAATGAATCACAATTTTTTCCTTGGTTTTCCTTTATAACAATTCTGTCTCTGCTGTTTTCTACCTTACTTTTCATTACCTGAAAGAGGGAACACCTTGTGCCTGTCTGGACTCTTTCTTTCACCATTAATTTGATTATTAAGTTGCAGTTTGGCCTCTATAAAATCTGTGCAAGCCACAACTTTGGCTTAGTGAATGAGCAGAATAAGCATGATGTAAAAGCGCTGGATTTTTTAACCTCCTACTTTTGCAACAGGGCAGCCAAAAAAAAAATAGCAAAACTTTTTAATACATCTGTTACTGTAAACACTTCAATAGACTGAGGTTTTGTTTCAGAGGCACTAGACATGCTGCAGCATGTCTAATGATGCTAAACCAGTAACAGTCTGGATTTAGGCTTCCAAACTTCAGAAAATTAACCAAACCATTTATGGTAAAATATTCCAGTTTTAAAAATACTTTTTTTTTTCTCTTGTGTTTTTTACTCTGATCCCTCTAGTCCAGACAAAAGCAGCTTTTCAGTTAGAAGAAGCTCTCGAACAAATTAAAATACCAGTTTCAACACCAGGACTGTGCTTGCCCAGCAGAAACAAAACAAATTTCAGGTAAGCATTTCTGTTTATTGTGATGACCAAAGGAAATAAGTTGCTTAGTGTGTTCAATAAGCAGCAGACAATTACTCTTTAAGACATTGTAGGCTATTTTCCTCATGGCAAAGAAAGCATTTCTGTCAACTATCCCAATGAAACATTATGAAACATCCTTGAGTTGCTTGTGTCCATTTGGTGAAACAGCAGAGGAGGTGACACAAACCTTTTCCCTTCAGCTGAATTCCAGGAATAGTGAGGGCTAACCCAGCCCACATTCAGTTATAGCCTGGGTCAGATTGCCACGGTTATCAAACCACGGGCTGTTCTATAAATTACGAAGCATTCTGTCTAGATGATTTCTTACTCTCATCCAGATTTTTTCTTTCCACATTCAAGGATAGTTTAGTTTGTATATTCATCTCATGATCTTATCTTCTTTCCAGCTGTCATTCCTTTAAGTTTCTCATCTTTTACAAGTATCTTGAGCATCCTGGTAACAATTTCACTTGCAATTTCATTTTATATCACATACAATTTGAACTGCATACGTTTCACTCTACCCAAGCACTTTTTCTAAGATACCTTGACTTTACACTGTTTCTTCATGCACAGTTTGTCTGTCTACTGTATTTGATAGTTCTTCCTGACTATCCCCTTCCTAAGCTCTCACTTCTTTAACATTTCACTTCAGGGTTTTATTTTTATGGTTGTTGCTTTTGTAATTATTATTATTCTAATTATTTTCTGATGCTGCAAATTGTGCAGATGTTCAGGATAGAGATAAATTCTGTCTAAAATGGATCTCCACACTATTGAGCTTCATAGTGATGTTAATATTCAGTTTGATTACATATCTACTGCTGATTGATACATGTTTGCAAATGATAAACTAGGCAATGGAGAGAATATTTCATACCTTTTAGAGCTAAATACTCATACTATCTGCTGATGAACATGCATATAGTTTTGCAGCTACGAACTGGATTGATATAATAAAGGAGGATTGCATCCATAAAACCAAAGAAAATTTTACCTGCTAAATAGAAGTTGAAATTATAGTGAAAAATTTTAGATGTTTCTGAACCCTGTCTCAGGGTTCCTGATCATTTGTCTCATTCCATTGAGGCTCAGTTAAGGACAGCAGCTCAGTTCCCCTTCCTCCCCACCTTCATCATTTGTTTCTTTATTTTCCATCTTTCTTCAAACTGTTCCTTGTGCCTCAGGGGTCACGTTTTTCTCTCAGGACCTCTTCAAACCACTTACCATTTCTTACAGTGTAACATTTGTATATTTTTAAAAATTCACTATCCTGTAATAATGATAGTGTGCTCTTTTCTTCATTTTCATTTATGTAACCTGATTTCCTAAGGAAATTACATTTATACCTTCATAATCTTTTACAGCTTGTATTCCCCTAGTAACCAAATGTGAGGGAGAGAGAGAAGAATCTCAAAGATTATAATATTTCTGCAAGTTTGAAAGTGGCAATTGGGAAAGAGAGAAATTATTCGAACAAGTGACCCCAGCATGAAAAAGGTTTAAAAGCTGGTTCCGCACTGACCTACTGGCAGGTTACAAGCCAGTTAGTAGGGGTAAGGCAGCACACAAATATCTTGGAACCTGCCCTGGAATGTGCTGCCTCTTCCCCAGCCGGTAACCAGGAGGTTGGGTAGGAGCCATGTGGGGATGGTGAAGGAGAATGTAATAAGGCAAAAAAGAATTAAGGCTTGTGTATAGGGGCAAGGTAGACAAATTTATATAAATAAATCTTTGCTTATTCTAATGCTAGCAATTGGTCTTCCTTCCACGTAACAGAAAATACGCATTTTTGTCTGCATCTCACACAATCCCTTACTAAGCACTAAGATTCAAACTGAAGGCGTCCTACGCACCATAGAGTCTTCTGGTCTGCTGCAGAGATGTTAGTGCGGGGAGACTCCTTTCAGTTTTGGTCTGGGAGCCAGAGTTCATGTATGATTTCAGACTCGGTTCCAAAAAATTGTGCAAAATTCTCATAGAGGGCAAAAATATTTTTTTTTTCAAATGAGCACAGCAAAGTATGCTTTGATGCAGGAAAGTATTTTGAGAAGGTTCTCAAAAGTGAAGGTTCCTCAAAACTCACCAGTTCTGAGCTGTAAATCTTTTAAAATGTCTTACAATCCCTTTAATTGAAATTTTTGGGACAGCTAGTAACTAACTCGGATGAAGTAGTAGATCCCTTTCTGTATTTCTATCTCTTCTTACACTTCTATAAACACTCAAACCAAAAATCTCATATCATCTTTACAATTTAACATTCCTCAGAAATAGAGCGTTAACAGTCCTCTTTTAGAGGAAGAAATCAATACTGTATTAAATATTCAAGGTAAATATGACTGCAGACCCAACTGGGTATAGGTGAATTTTATAACGTTCTAGAATTCTTTATGTTTAAAAAATTTTTAAAAAATAAATTAAACTGGGGAGATATATTACATCATCTTGGAGAAAGACAAAAAGTCCTAAAACACCTAATGAGTGAGAGATTGTATTCTGTGCTTACAGCAGAGCTATTCTGCTTCTAGTAAGGTTTAGTTAGTAAATGCCAAAGGGAAGATTTTGATCAGCTCATTAGCTGACAGGCATTGGGATGTGTGCACGTTAGGTGTGTAAACGCTGTGCTGCACTTTATGCAAGATACACTTTCCTGTTTATGTTTAAAAGCAATTGTATTTGATTAGTTGTATTGACTGGGACAGAAACTTAATTATGACAAATCAAAAACATTCTCTGAAAAAGCTTGGAGTGTAGCAACTTTTATAAATATAAATGGTTTAAACAACCAAACAGATATCAATAAACTTTCCCCCAAAGTAAACAGAGAAAAAAACCCTCAGATTTTTTTGGGGACCAGGTGTATATCAGTCTGGTCCACAGTAACAAAGTCTTTAAAAGTGAATAGGCACAGAAAGCTTTTGGATAAGGAGAATATCTCCCATTCAAAAGAATACAGAACACAATTTTCTGAGTTCTGTAAATAAATACGGGAAGTTGTTCTCCCTTTTTTTTATCAGCCATCTCATCAGAAATAAATTGCTTTTTAGACACTGCCAAATATGTATCTCTGTTTAGGACAATGCAATTAAGCCAATCTTTTTGCAGCATTATATAAAATCTTCTGAAAAATAACAGTAGTCTTGTTCGTAGATCATAGAATCAAAGAATCCTAGAATGATTTGGGTTGGAAGGGACCTTAAAAATCATCTAGTTCCAAGCCCATGCCATGGGCAGGGACACCTCCCACTGGACCAGGCTGCTCAAAGCCCTGTCCAACCTGGCCTTGACCACTCCAAGGGAGGGTACATCCACAGCTTCTCTGGGCAACCTGTTTCGCTGTCTCACCACACTCCCCCCCAGAAAATAATTTCTTCATAAAATCTAATCTAAATCTACTCTCAGTTTGAAACCATTACCTCTTGTCCTATCACTGCACTCCCCACCTTTCCTGTAGCCCTCCTTTAAGAACTGGAAGGCTGCAATAAGGCCTGCCTGGAACGGATGGGATCAATAGGATAAAAGTTTCCATTTTCCATTCTAAAACTGTAAATGTTATAATAAATATAGAAAAGGTCTCATTAAACTCTTTACCCATTTGACACAGATGTACTAAAAAGAAAAGGATTGTTTTTAACAGGGAGTATAATTTTAGATGCGGAAAGAGGGTGGAACAGATAAAGGCTCAGAAGGAGGAACTGTGGAAACTTAAGCTGACGAAACGAAGAGAAATGAAGGAAAGGGGGTATTGAGTGTCTGTACATGTATTAAACATACTATATCCATCTCCAGCTAGGAACAATACCTGTTTCCCAATAATGCATCTCTGCTGGATAGGCAGTAGGGGAGGATGAGGTCTGTGTCCATACAGCGTGGCTGCACTGTTCACATTTGCTCAGTAGGAGTGCCAGCTGCTAAGGAAGATAACTCTGTGTGGCATGAAATAGTCGGGTATTCTTAGAAGTTCGTGCACTGCAGATTGCCCACATAAGAAAGGAACCATCATCTTCACCATCACCTTCATTGAAGATGAGTACTGGAAAAATGTCCATAGTACATCATCTTGTCAGGTCAGATTCCAATTTTTAAAAAAAAAGAAAGAAAAAGAAAAGGGCATTATTTGGAAGTATAATTTTCATAATTCATATAATATTTCATATTCAGCTGCATATAGACTAAAAGTTCACTCTTGCCACGAATTTATCTAAACACCTTTACCCAATTCAGTAATATTTAAGAGATTGTGTTGATGCTGCTGAGGAACTATATATGAGAAATGCACCCTGGGAATGTTGGAAAGCATCTACATATTGAATGGACAGCAGGGTTTGCTTTGTTACTCAAAATCCAGTGATTGCTGAGACAAAGTAACGTTTTGAATATTTGACCTCATCAACCTGATAAATAAAACCTCCTTTTGGTAAAGCTGTATCCATTTTAAAGATAACTTCACCAAAAGTTTATATTGACGATCTGTTTCCAAGACCTGTTCTCCTACTACCACCATTTGTAATAACACTTACTCCATCTCAAAACAGTGAGACATAAGCTTGGCTTTCTAATCAATTGTAAGGATTAGGTCTCTACTGAACAGATGTGAGAGCTTAAAGCTTGGGTCTGGTGAAAGACTTCTGAAAGGGCCACTTTGGATATGCCAGAGGAAGGGCATTCAGGGCCCTTGAACCAGGCTGGAGGCAAAAGACATGGTCAGTGTCCTTCACTAAACTGCCCCACACGGGCAGTCAGGCATAGCTGGCAACCTGGTCATAGCTGGTTTCCAGCAGACTAAAGTCTGATCTACCTATGAGCTGGTGGGTTTAGTCTGTGGGTTATTTTTGCTTTTTTTTTTTTTTTAAGGCTTGTCTTTATTATTGGTTACAGATCCTCATTTCTTGTTTTTTGTCATTCTTGTTATCTACCTAGTTCTTGCTTCTTCTCCAGAGGTTGGTTCCTGTTCCTAGTGATTGTACTCAGACTTGCTCCACTTCTGGCTGCTTTTTATTCCTGAACATACCTTTACCCACTCCCTGCCTTCCTAGTCTCTGGCTGCAGATTTTCCTTGTCACTTGACTTCACACCTTTTTGGCAATTCCTGGTGGTCAACCAGCCCCATGGTTCTTGCTGATTCTCATTCTGTAAAAACCTTTAGTTTCCTCTATCTTAATTTGGGCTCGTGCTGACCACAATACCCAGCTACACTAGCTACCTCAGAGACTTTTTTTTTTCAGGTAGCAAATACAAATGTACCTTAATGTACCACATTACTGACATTAGACCTCATCAATAGAGCTGGACTCTCTAGATACTACAAAGTTATTTTGCCACTTGATGTAAGGGAATATCTGACAGCATCAGTATATAGTTATTTTCTATATAAGCCAACTTTATGGAAAAATAAAGGCCATTTTCCTTGTTGGTTTTTTAAAAAAATAAACCCCAAACCTCCATGTTCCATTTCTGTAAATGACCAAACTATTGGCTGACATTTTCCAGATTAATTCAGCCTGAGGCAGTCACCCAACAATCCAATTAGGAAAGCCTGACGATAAATAACAGAAGAGAATGTTTAAAGTGGAAAGTGTTGGGCAGTTTTAGACAGTACTAAGAGCACCACCTGTAGTTATATACAGTATAACCATCCTGCACTTACCAGGCATTTATTGATGATATATATACTTTTGGAAGGGAATGTGTTTAAAAGTGTAGAGTCGATGCATAAAAATAAGGTAAAGTAATAAGTTATTTGTTTGCATCAAGAACCACAGATGACACTTCAACCTCATCAGCATCTAGAAACAGTTCTTTCCACAAGAAGCAGATTTCAGGAGTGATTGGCTGGGATAAAACAAGGGAAGAGAGCAGGAGAACAAACATGGATAGTTGCAAACTTCTCTTCCAGAAAAATCTGAAAGAAATGCAACAACTCCTTGAAAAACAGCATCTCAGCAACTTGGAGGTATGATATTTCCATGTGATTCATTACATGATGCTTCTTAAATGTAATAGTTTCTTGAATGTGATAAAAAGGAAAGGTCTATTAAGCACTCTTTAGCAACAAGACAACATCTAAGGACACACTGTACTATGCCTTACCAACAGATTGTTTCTAGTAAAATTACATGTATTCTTCAGTAAGAAGAGATCTTTAAAAATGTATGTAAGAATATCTTCACAAATTCTTCAAAGATATTCGTCACGTTGTCCTTCTTTTTGTGCAGATAAGATTCGTATGTCAGATTTCTCGACTCCAAAGTAGCTAGTCATTAGTCTATTGCAGGGGTCTTGTGCTATCTGCAAACTTACTTTGGCAGTTTGCAGTTGGCACGTAAGTTTCTGCTTTGCTGATGGCTACAGCCCAGCACAAAACACCATAGCAGTATAATTATGGTAGGTCAAAAGTTGGGGGTTTTTTTGTTTCTTGCTTTGTTTCTCAGTGTGTGGTGATTTCTTAGGGACTCACTGCAAGTCTCCTGACAACCATTTTTGTGATCCTTGGAGTAGATGCAGGTTCCAGTAACCCAGATGGGTTCCAGTAACGAAACCATTAACTTTCTGCCTAAAGTAATTTTTGGACCCAAAATCAGTTTCAGAAGACACCTTAGAAACACAGTGAAAATCAAGAACTGAGCTCCAAAGTGATTTCCTTTAACTGCACTTTTAAGTTTGATTTTAGGTCTGAAAGTGTTGTCTTTGATTTTGGAAATATTGTCTTCAATGTTACATTTTTTTGGAAACAAGACTGCACAACTTTGGACTCATTCATATTTCTATATTATCTACTGGTATCTGGGCTTGGGATGACTGAAATGACCTTGACTCTGTGAAGCACTGTCCCTTTGTACTGGTCATGGCTACAGGCATGGGATTTCTGGTGGCAACAGAGCAAGGGCTTTTCCTTTCAATACATGTGTATGGAGAACTTGTGAAAGACTATACAGTTCAGATATATTTTGAGTTCTTTGATGTTGATGATTTCAGGCACATGGATCTGTCTCCACCTACTTTGTTCTGATGGACAGTCATGAGAATCTTGAACAGCTGATGACTAACATAGAAATGTTGGAGTAGATTTTACTAAAGTTGAGAAGACAGAAAGTACAGTTTGTACTGGCAAGTTCATTGATTAGTGCTCGCTTTTATCTGCAAAAAAAAAAGAAAGAACAATTGGCAATATATGGAGGAGAGCTGATAAAACGGAATTCTCGATAACTGCTTCAAACAAAATCCAAAAAGGCCTAAGCTTTTGTTTAATATTATTTTTATAGCACCTTATGCATCTTACTGATACAGTATTTGAAAAGCCCTCCCGAAATGATAATTCTGAATTTGGCAGTAGCTACATTAGGACGTCTTAGAATTAGGAAAAAAAATGCAACCTCTTTGATAAAAATATGTAATAAGATTTTTAATATATCGTAAGACACTCTGTAGTAGTGTATTTATCAAACACAAATATCACACTCTAACTGAATCCTAGGGAAAAACTGCCATGACTCAAACATGATTTTTTGCTTATAATTTTTTCTAAATGTTATCATCAGCTTTGGACACTGCATATCATATAGGAATGTGTGTTTACAAATTAATGTATTTTTGAAAATGCTTTAATTCTGTAAAAAATTTGTTTTCCCAGAATGTATTTTTCTGCTACCACTAGGGGTTGCTCAGCTTCTTCCCTCTGATAAACAGTTTCAAATTGTAAATATGTATACTTCAAACATTTGGCCTTTTTTTTCTTGAACTTGCATGCTTTAGACTCTGATTCGAAAAACAGTCAAGAGAGCTACTGTCATTGTTCTAAGGCCTGAGGTTTGGAAGTTGAATACTTGGATTGCGCTGGTGTGTATCTCCATTGGGACTTCCTGTGATGTGAAGTGGCATTTAGAACAATCTTACTAATAACACTTATAATTTATAAATATAATATTTTTACTGATATGAATAGGCTTCAGTAGTCCTGTTCTGTTGTCCAAAGTCATTTCAACAGTGTTTGCCTTTCTGGAACTAACGTTAAAGTGCACATGTTTTGCAGGCTAACCATCCACTGAGATCCCTTGACCACTCTTTCTGTTTTTACAGGCCCAGCAGGATTATAAGGATTCCTAAAATTCTTTTCTTTCCTACAGAGCAATAAAGTTCTATGTAGACCCTTATCAGTAGATTTGGTGTGTTCCCCGATTTCCATCCATAAAAATTTGTAGTTTCACCAATAAGCCAAGGTTTTCAGTGACCCTTCTACTATTCTCCAAAATTATTTTCCTTAAAATCTTGAAAGCAGTAGATTTTATTTTGTGCCAGAGTTACATCTGAGACAGTACATCAAATTATTATTTGCTATATGTCTGTAAGTATGTTCTGAAAAAATCGATATTGTTAACTTCATGTGCAATGAAAGGTTTTGTTGCACAGTCATCTCGTGGTTGTGTTGCAGGCATAAATGCAATCTTTAAGTTGGAGCGGGTAGCACAGTTTTTGTCTGAAGCTGCATGCAGCTTTTTACCAAACAACATTACTCCCAAATGCTTATAGTTTCTCCAAATGTTAACTCTTTATGTTGAAATTTTCCATTTCTGCCTTGAACTGAATAATTTAGAAAACTTCCATTAAAATGGATGAACTCCATTAAAATGGAGAAAGAATAGTATTATTCAGATGTCCTTTGACTTTTTCTTTTCATCACCTGTTTAATTTGGTGATCATACTGAATTGTATTAGGCGGTACAATATTTTTATGCTCTTCCAGAAAAATACACCATGCTTGAATTAAACTGTTTGACTGATATAGTATTTCACCTCTCTTGTTTCATATTTTAAACAAAATACTTGGAAGTAGGAGCTGATCCACAGACAAAATAGATACTGATTACAACATAAGTATTATGTTTTCCTTTTCCCTCCTTTATATGACCATAATTAGGTTATTCAGGTAGAATCTGTGAAATCCAAATTAAAATCCCTTTCTAACTGATTTTACCTTGGCTTCCCTTTTGTTCCAAGCAAATTGTGCAGCCATTGAAGTAAGGCAAAGTCCATTGGTGAGTTGGCCGGTGTGACTGTTAGCTGAGTTACTGTGCTTTTGAGGTTGGGCTGTCTGTGAAGCAGAGGTGTTTCAGGTCACTGATGGAAAAACTGAATTCATTTTCAGGTGCATTTTTAATATGAATGGAATGACTTAAACGAGGGTTCCTTCTGCAATGTGCATTGTATGGGTCTAACTCCTCAGAGGCATGGACAAGACCAGCATGGAAAAAAGGAGTGCCTGTGTACAGAGTGTCCCCTGAGTGTCGAGAACTTGTAGAATGCTCAGGGCTGGTTAGTTGGAAAAGAGGCTCTTAAGGGGAGGGTTGGGATAAAATGACATTGGAACCAAAATCAGCCTTGATTTTGAAGAGGCCTTTCAAAGACTCAAAGTAAGTTTCCATGGTCACCTTAAGTATAGAAATGTTGGCCGTTTTTTACTTGTAACTGTGAATTTTAACATACTTCATGCTGATCACTTAAATTATATGACAAACTTGAGTGATTTCCCTACTTGTTTTCCTTTTGGCAAGATTGGAGTGTTTCAGTTTTTATTAGCTTTCAACCAATATTGCAACACATCACTATCTTCCACGTTATTTCACTAATCTGAAATTCACGTCTGATATAAGTTAAAATTGAAATGTATCTCCAGACTAGATTATTTTATCCAAGTACTCTCAAACGTGTTTCGATTGTGTATTCCTCAAGAGTAGGGGTTTTTTTACCTAAAATAGTGGTTTATTCCAAGCCTGTGCTGTATAAAATGACATTGCAGTCTTCATACCTGACAATCTGGATGTTCAGTCATTTGAAGGGCACTTTTCCTCAATTCAAAACCCTGCTTGAGCAAGTGATAACGTAGGGTTGAAGCTGAAACAGCATTTTCAGTACAAAAGAGATTTTTTTTGAGAGGTAGATTAATATGTGAATAAGACATTGTGGAAAATTTAGGGTGGTTATACACAGAGCATAGGTCACAAACCACAGAAACAAGGAAACAGAGAGCTGTCCTCTGGTATGTACTCGTTCCTCCGTTACACACATACACTTTTTCGTAAGAATTGCCATACAGAGTAGCAGGGCTTCATTTTTGTTTTAACACTGATATACATGTAGCCATATATCTGTGGATCTATGAAATATTTATATATAGCTATGCACTAAAATATTTCTACCATACTTCACAGCTATTTTTTAAGTGATTTGGTTTATTGCAACAGGGGGAAATGTTCATAAATGTAGCAAAAGGAGAAGAACAGAGGAAAAGGCAGCAGTATCTGATCTTTAGTTTACTGCAGGAAGATAAAAATGTTTGTGCATACTGGTCTGCCAGAATGTTATTTTTTTTATGATAACTTGATACTATCAGAGATGCTAAGTACTAATGTCTAATGGCAATGTTGGGAAATCTATTGCTTTCTCATCAAGATTAAAGTATCACTGTCCAGAGTAATTCTACCCCTTTGAAAGTGGTAGAGCTGTGTTTTTTGGGGTTTGGTTTTGTTTTTTTTTTAAAGTGATAAACCTCTTGGGAAGTAGCAAGCAAAACCAAAACTACTTTAACACTATTTGCTTCCAGTATTCTGTTTCTGTCCTAATAGGTTCATGGTAGCCTGAGTACACAGAAACCTGATGAATTCTTTCAGTATGTTTTTCAATATTAATTATTATAAACTCACAGCAGCACTTCTGTAGCTTGAGCTTTGCTGCGCAGTTTATGCCTGATACTGGCATATCCACTGGCTCACCAACTGGGAAACAAAGCACTCTGCCCAACACCCAGTATCTAGAGGACAGCAATACACGGAGAATAAATGGGACCCAGGAGGCTGAAGAACCTTGTAACTAACAAAGAATTGTGCTGTGTCAAACACTGGAAAAAAAAAAAAATCAGCCTATGAATCCAGTAGGCTGTTTAGGGGTAGATGCTGGAAT